CTCGGCGCGGCGACTCGACGCGTCTGGCCGGCGATGCCCCGGCCACCCCGGCAAGGCGTCCCGCAGGGGCCGCAGCGCGGGGTGGGCTGCATCCAACCAAGCAGCCCCCCCAGACTAGGGAAGGATATTTTGCTCTTTAGTATTTTTGATTTTTTTTTTTCCCCATTAACCACCCCCCACTTTTCTGTAGAAAACGTTCAGGCAGGAAAAGCAGCCGGTGGCTTTCTTGTATACAAAGCAGAAGGAGCTGCTACAGCTCAGCCCCGTAACCACTTTGCATTTTTAAGGTGTTTTATTTAACCCATCACTAGCTGCAGAGCTGTTCCAGCAGCAGCCTGGCACAGCACATGAAGACAAATGACTGGTTCACAGTCGCTCCTCTATGGATTCAGAGCCTACAAAACTAAAAGCAAACCCAACAGGGAAACCTAAGCCACACACACACACGGAAAAAATTAACTCATTGCTCACAGCTGTAGTTTTCCACCAGACTAAAGGCAACTCAAATTACTCTGACTCCAGCAACTCATGTTATACAACAAGCAACTTTCAATGCGTTCCTATTCGAGGCTTCCTTGGCATCCACTAAAATGTTAAGCCGTCCCTAGAGTTTCCCATTCTAATATTAGCTGTACCAATGCTGCCTGATAGGATTGGGCTGTTTCCAAGTTCCCAAAATCCAGCCCTTTATCTTCCTAAAGTACTGCCGCCCAGTTTTGCAAACACTTGACAGGCGCAGGACATTGCTCGTGTGACTGCTATTAAGACTTCAAGCTTTCGCAGGAGAAGAGCCTTCAACTACAAGAAAAGGAAGCTTAAATTCCTCTTTTATTATTGCTGTGTTATTGCAATTACAATGATCAGTAACTGAAACCTACTGGAGCTGGAACAGTCAAACAATGCTATGAAGGAAGAAGTGTGGGAAGATGCTGTCATCAGCAGCAGGGGGTGGGGCACAGAGGCTGTTTGATTCACAGATCAAATTATTTCACACTAAAAAAACAACATTTGTTAAACCTACATTGCAAGTATTAAAGGTTAATTAATACTAGGGTAATTAAAGCCAAGTTCATAACAAAAACTGTCCAGATCCTTGCAATCCGGCTTGCAGCAACATCACAAAGGTTAGACTGACCCATGCTTCTGGAAGGACCTTTGCAGTTTTGCACATCAGGTGGGGAACAGAGACTGCAAACATCAGATTTGCTAGGCATGTTTTAAACTTCAAAGGGAAGGAAAAAAGCACAACTAGCCATGCTCATGTCTTCTGGGTTTCATAAGGAACAGAGATGCTCTAAATCAATTCCGATTTTGCAAACGGGGCAAATTTATACAGGGATCCCATTCACTGATGTGTGGGCTCCCAGTCCAAATGAGCTCAGCAAGCAGGAAAAGATGTGCGGAAACCTTTCTGCAGGGAGCTAGGGACTGGCTGGGCGCAGCTCTTAAAAAACGAGCTAGAACAGGTCAGATATGGGTGGGGATTAGAAAGAATGCTCTCTCAGAGGCTGCTCTGAGCAGACTGAAATACAACCATTTTGTGGATTAAGCGTCTATTTCACAGCCAGGGAAGTGAGGGTCTGTTAATGCTGGGGCCTGAATATGGTGGGTTTGAACTTAACACACAGTTACAGCAAGATGCACAAACAGTGTAGTAACATCTACCACTTCCCTGCTCTTCCACCTTGAGAAATTCCGAAGAACATAATAAACCAAACGTTCACCCTCTCACCCGTGTAGCTCAGGAGCACACACGTGTGCGCACACACACAGGTACCCGCCTGCACTAAGCTGCTCGGAGTCCTCAAGATGAAGGGAATCATGTTAATGAAAGATAAGTCACACGAATACTACAAAACATTACACTACAAATATTGACACATTCAGATATATGTAACATGGTTCATATTATTCTTCTACAACTCTTAGGGGAAAGAAAAAAAAAAAAACAACCCACAACTCTGAAGAAAAACTTGCTGATGTCCTGCTAACGGAAACTGAGAAGAGACCCCCTGCCCCACACCCTGCAGAAGGGCACACTCATCTGTTCAATGCACAAAAGCGGGACACGGAATATTCTGTGCTACAGGAACAACCCACCTTCCTGCAGAAGGACAGACTATCATCTCAGACCCTGGGACTAGGGCTCGTGTACTGGGGGGAGCCAAATAAATGAATAAATTGTTAATACCGGGGGCCTCAATTCTGCAGCCTGCGTGCCAACCAGCAGAGCACAGCAGCAGCACACACCACCCCCACCACTTGTTTGCTGTGCACTCAGGAGAGGACTTAAGCACATGCTTAACTTTGAGCATGCCAACAATCTTACTGGAAAGAAGAAAACCTGAAGCATGTACTTAAGTGCTTTGCTGAATCAGGGCCTAAATAAATGAATCTGGTTCGCAGGTTTAGCGAGGCTGGGAGGCCAGCAAGCACAGGCAGCAGTCATTGCATTTTGGCTTACGTGATCGCAGCCCAGAAGAGCACGAGCTAGGCTTTTCTGCAAGTCAACAAATACAGTTCTCTCAGTGTTTGGATTGCTGCAAATTCCCTCTGCATGTGGCCACGGGGAAAGCCGAAAACGTGTGCACACAGGGCTGACATCACACCCAGCGCTGCATACTGCTGCAGCGAGGCTCCCGCGCATGCCGCCAAAGGGTAACACGCATCAGACAGGAACCTGCCACTGACACTGTACAGCTTCAGTTCTCCATGTTTCAACTCCTGGCAGCAAACAATTGCAACTGTTCTGACCATGATGCAGGGGGGGCAGGACAACTGGCATTTTATTCACTTTGTTCTCCCACTTATTTCAAATAAGAGGAATAAAAGCATCCATGCCAAAACCAACAAGGATAAAAAGTAGCTCCAGAAAACACAGGCTTCGTTACCGTGCCGGAAATACAACAAAGGGTAGGTGCTGCCTTTTGAACCCTTCCCAGCGCTGCTGCTCAGCAAGCCAGAGCCGTCTGGCAGAGCTCATCTCCTCCGCTACCAGATGGGCCAATCTTGTTTCAACAGCAGTAGCATCAAAGCTGGAGAAAGCAGCAGAGCAGAGAGAAAAGCCCGTGGCCTTTATGCCTGTAAGGCAACTATAGCATTCCTGAAGCCTCTGCTCCAGGGCCACTTGCTGGGCCAGGCTCTAATGGCCTGAGATGCAGGAGGACAGGGCTTGCTCCAGATGTCAGACCCAGCCTTGCAGTTACTAAAGTGAAGGGGAACAAGGGGAGTCTGAGGAGCAAAGGTCACGCTGGGGCTCGCCTCTGGAGGGACTGAGAAGCCCTCGCTGCTTGAGGTAACGTGAGGATGACCGTATTCACTTGGCGCTTGAATTCCTCCCGCTTTCCATGAAACCGATCCCCTTCCACTGACACCCCCCATGGATGTCAACTCATGAGGACGCTTCCTGACAGCCGAGTTCAGAGATGGTAATTTATGTGACAGGGTGGATTCAAGCAAGCTCCCAAGTGTAAGTGATGCTATTTAAAAGAGGTTTTGGTTTTGGTTTTTTTTTTTAGAAAAAAAAAATGACTCAGTAGAAGTGGCAAAGTGGGTTCCTTATTTATTGTTACTCAAGGATTTCCGGGTCACGACTGCTCATACGTTGCCCTGACAGTCCTGGTGAGCGAGAACGGCAGCTATTCCCCTTCGCCTGAAGTGGAATAGGGACAGTGCAGACAGTGGGGGGGACACTGGAGCTTTCCCAAAGCCAAGTTCCAGCCATGCCCTTTCTTTAGCATATGTGATGCTGTCCATGATCCTCTCCTCAACACGAACTACCAGCACACGACAGAGGAACCAAGGACCCCACTCTTCTGAGTCTGAGCTCAGCCCTATACTGCCAGGCTGCAGCTTGCTTTACCCAGTTTTGCAAGTTATGGTCAATGAAAGCTCAGACCCAGCCAGCCTGGATGGATGGACACCCTGGAGGCACGGC